TCAGGATTTAATCCCTTGCTTTTACTAAATTCTTCCTTGAGTCTGACTCAACTATCCTATTTCCTCCAAGCCATTCTGTGTAGAAACCAAAGACATTCTCACAATAATACACCAATGAGTTTTTTTGTTTTTTTTTTCTGAGACAGGGTCTCACTCTCTCATCCAGGCTACAGTGCAGTGGCATCATCGTAGCTCACTGCAACCTCCAACTCCTGGGCTCAAGCTATCCTTCTGCCTCAGCCTCCCAAGTAGCTAGGACTACAGGCACCGCCATGATGCCCAGCTAGAGATGGGGTCTTGCTTTTGCCCAGGCTGGTCTCAAACTCCTGGCCTCAAACAATTCTCCCGCCTTAGCCTCCCAAAGTGCAGCAATAAGTTCTTGAGTCTCATTTTCAAGGCACCTTCCTTGATCCAGCCCACTGGTAGGTATTTACTTGTTCTCTGTTTCATACCTGTAGGTTCTGCTGCCCCAGGGAGGCTGTGGGCTCCTTCCAGACAAGGACAGAGAGCCTGCATGGTGCTGACCACAGTCACAGGTTTTACAAACTGCCAGATGAACTGAAAACCCGCACCCCTCCCAGCTTTGCTTTCTGCAGGGAGAAGAACCCCAACGACACCTTCTTATTCAGGCCCCCCTGGTCTGGCCCTGACCACTCACCCTGGGCTCACCCTGAGCTGCAAAGCGGGTGCGCAGAACATCCACAGGGTGCACGGTGAGGGTGGCCGTGCAGGCAGCCAGACCACCACATACAAAGTGCACTGAGAACTCGTGGCTGTTGTACATGTTGGCTCTGTGGACCAGCTCCGTCAGCACTTCAAATGACAAAAACTGCAAATCGAGTGAAAAGGTCATTAATGGCCCAAAGGATGACAGCTGAGACTAAATTCCACCCCCCTCCCATACACTACCTGTGACATAGGTGGGGCCTAGTCCTGGAGGTGAGGAAAGGTGAGGAAATGTTATTCTTGAGCAGCGACAGAATACAATATACACATAATTATGTGTGAAACTCAGATGCCATTTTATACTCAATTTGAGTAAAGCCAAATACCCAAAAGGTTAACAAGATAATATTGGAAAATTAATATCAGAAAGTGCCACTCTCTGACTTAATTTTCTCAGAACTGGGAAAAGATGGCCATCATCTGATTCCCGGCAGGGGACCCCTCCAGTGCGCTGGTGGCGGGGCTGTGTGAGAGCTACTCTGCTCTGGAGCACATCCTGCCAGGCGCCCGCTCCACGGGGTAACCCTCACGCTAGGATCTGCCTTCAGCCGCCTCGAGGTGGCTGGGCGTCCTGTGCCCATCCTGGTGCTGTACTTATTCATCACGCTGCAGTAGCTACTTGTGTGCCACATGCACGGACGTGGCCATCTGGTAAGCACCTGACTGGAGCAGTCACTGAGATGTCGCAGGAAGAGTAGGCAGGGACATCTCTGGCACTAGCTGTCTGGGTGGGAGTCCCAGCTCTGCCACTTTCTAGCTAGTGACTTTGGTTGGGTTAATGATTTAATAAAAAAGCTCCATCTGCCTCAGTCTTCTCATTCGTAAAACAGGAGCGATAACAGCACCTACCCCCAAGGACTGCAAGACGGTGTGAGTATGTGCATACAGTGCTCACAGCAGGGGCCTGGCCCGCAACTCGCACTGGGCAAGGGTTGGCTATTACCACTATGACCACCATAAAACCACATGCTGTACGCCATGAAATAATACTGGCACTCAGCGGAATGAATGAATGACTAAAAGTCAAGAAACCTGGGTTCTAATCCTGGCCCCATCATATACAGGCTGTGCAGCCTCGGATAGCTCACTCACCCTCCCTGAGATCCACATAACTCCTGCTCTACCCTCCTCACAGTGCTCTCGTGAAGTCCAGATGAAGCACATATGTGATGATGGTATTTCCAAAAATGGAATTTGCCAAGCCCCACGGGGGGTGTGGTGTCAAGTCAGTCTCCTAGGTGCAACATCTAAGTCACCTGGGATAGACAGTGGGAACATGGCGAAAGGAATGCCTAAGGTACAGCTCAATCTGACAACGTCTTCAATGGGTCAGGCAGGTTCCCAGTTAAGTCAAATGGGGAATGTGGGGACTGCCTCTTCCCTCCCACCCCAGGCAGTGTCCCTGCTTGCCTTACCCTCCCTCTGCTTCTCCATTGAGCAATGTGACCCCGGGGGCTTGGTCTCGTCCCCTGCCACCTACTTGGACAGCTCCATAGCCTATGGAGAGAATCTGGGCTGGGATGTGTCCTTTCCAGAATGCCGCTGGGCCCTCCTCTTGCAAAATCTGCCTTGTGGCCTGTAGGATGCCATGGTATTTTGCATTGGGGTCACTGCGAGACAGGCGCTCAATCTGAAGCTAGGAAGCAAAATCAAAAAGGTCAGGACAATGGGGATGGGGTGAGAAGGAGAAATTTCAGAAAAGGCAACGAAGGCAACACAGTGCTTTATCTTGACAAAATTCCAAGTTTTAGGAACTGCATTTGCAAGAAAGAGTGAACTTGTACTCTAGCCGATTGCATGGAAAAAGGGAAAAAGAATACCTGGAAACGGATTTTGATGATGTCCAGGGGACTGATAAGCGCCCGTGTGACAAGTCCAGACACAGACCCAGCTGCTGCCACCTCGAACTTGGAGTTATTCCTGCCATCTGCTTTGGGGTCATAGCCAACCATCCCTGCCTTTGGCCCATACAACGTCCATCAGTATCAAGCTAAACACAAGAAACATGGAATGAACGCCAAGGCAAGTTTCT